CTGAAGGTGGTACAATTGCCCAGGACTCAGGAATATACTTTCCCATGGATTCCCCCAAAAGGTTCTCTTCAAAACTTCCGACAAAGAGAGTGAAAGGAGCTCTCAGCCCAGACTCACAACCAGGCAGTGGCCTGTGAAGGAGGCCTTGACACCCCTATGAGACACTCACCCAAGCCTGCAAGCTGGGAAGAGAGGGAAGATGGGGGTGCCGTGTTCCCCACCATTGGGCTCACCACGGCTGGAGACCCAGGCCCCAGGTCTATTAAGTTGTCTTCGGTCACTTCATTCAGTACCTGTCAGAGCATGAGATGGCCGTGAGCCTCAGAGCCCTTGTACTGGTCTCTAAGGTCAAAGCCAGCAGGCACCGTGCAGGGTTTCAATGCAGTACCAGTACAGGAGCAAGGTAGTTTCTCTCACGACGACAGGGGTCCACTGTGGGCCCTGGCTGTCAGTAGGCCCCTGCCCATTAGCTCCCCGCTCCCACTTAAATGAGGCAGGGCTGAATCAGTTACCAGCACAGGACAGGGGCTTCCTTGCCACCCTCCCACCAGGGATGCGCCTGTTAGCTCTTCCTCAGTATCCCATCAGCCAGAGCCTGCTAGACAGTTACCCAAATATTTAAACCCCAGTTAGAAAAACCAAACTGAAGCAGCTCCCCTGGCCTCCAGAGATGAGAGAATTCTGAAGGGATACTTACTCCATTACTGGCATTTTGAACTGATCGGCCCGACCTGTATCGTTCAAACCTAACGGGAAGGGAAAGCAGAGTAAGGAGAGGGGGGTGACAGGGCACCATGATGCTTATTGGTCCTGTGGAGAGCTCCTGGGGACCGACAGCCCTGGGAGGCCAGCAGAGACTGAGGCTCCAGGAAAGGAGACCAACGAGACCCATTTTGGGGGCTAGCGGGAGTGAACCCATACATGTACAATTTCTCCAGGCCTTTCTCTGTGTGGGGCTGCCCTGAGGAAGATCGGCCTCCTGGCCTCACCCTGAGGTAAGGGAGGAGGGTGTTGACTGACACACCCAGGAGGCCATTATAAGCACCCCCAGCCATTCCCTCAGACCCTGAACCCGGGTGTTCCTCTTGTCCTTTGACGGGTAGGTTGGATCAACCACTTTACCTGGGGGCAAAGCCAGGCAAAAAGTACAGCCCTCCTTCCTATTTCACAGAGCTGTGCTGGGGAGTAATTGTCTGAGGTCACTGAAATGCCCCAGCTCAACTTGCCAGAGTAAAGGTGGTAGGGCATATACGGGGCAGACACCTAGAGGAGGAAGACAGGCACAGGCCCCTGGCCTGGTGAAAGGATCCCTGGTGGCTGCAGAAAGGGTTAGACCAACCAGTAACAGGCTGCCAGCCAGTCTCCTACTCCAGCCTGTTAGCTGCAGACTGGCTGTGGATGGGAGTTGGCTTGAAATAACTGCAGAAAGCCTCTTCTCTCTCTTGCCTGTCATTCTCATACCAGGTGAGGAATAGAAGAGCAATTGTGTGCGTAGGGGTGGGGAGGTGGGCTGCCCTTGCATTTAAAAGTTCCCAAATGTTATGGGCAAAGAGGTAGCTAAGAGATTTTCTCCAGCTAGAGCCTGGAGAGATCAGGCTTCACTGAGATTCGCTGCTCCACACTGGTCTCCCCACTTGCTGGGGTCTGTGCCTGGTGAGGAGGAATCCCCGCAAGGGACAATCTGGTTAGGATATGTGTGTCAACTGTGTTTTGAAGACTTATATGGTTTTTCAATCATGGTTTATAAGAACAGGAGTATTAATACATCTGAAAAAATTTTAATCCTAGAACAACTTTCCCATACTCTCTTCGAGGGACAAGTAGTCTTATCAAAGGCACTCTAGCCTTAGGTCTGTTGGCCTCAAGCTTTGCCTCTGAATTGTGGTAACACTGGGACTGGCAGACCCAGGTGAAAATGCCCACATTAGTTCTTGTCATCTTATTCTAGAAGGGGTTGAAATGGGTCTAATAGGTTAAAAGACTAGCCCATTTAAAGTGAAGAAATTAGAACCACATGGCAAAACCAAGACATCTAAGGCTGGGAGTTGAGGTGCCTCAGATAATGCTCCCATTCTTCAATTGACACATGCATGCGTGGCCCCATAGTCACATTGCAGTGGCTTCTTCATCTGTCAGGTGGACACAGGGCTACCCCACCCTACTGCCAAAGTCCAGAGTTGTGACAATAGCAGCAAAATCACCCTCTATGCCCCCAGATGCACATATCTGTCACACCAACCCTAACTGGTGCCAGCTCATCCTGCCATAAGTCAGTGAGGGGCCAACACCCCAAGTCTTTGGGGACTTGGGGCTTAGATTTAGAAGAAGGTTGGCCTGGTCAAAGTGCTTTCTGGTGCTGACACTAAGTAATTCAGGAAATTCAGGAAAGCTCGTGGAGCACTCATCAGTGATGGAATGGGAAGAATGATGGGACGAGACCGTGCCATTAAACTACCTATTAAAAACTACATCTGAATAAGATGCTTTGCATTTTTCCCCCAGAGATGGCTTTGGAAAGGGAAAAGAATTTGCAAGTTAGTTACCTCAAACCCCAAAATGATTTGGCTACAGAAAGAACTGAATATGTGTTTCCTTACACAGCTGTGTTCCAGCACTTACACCCTTCCTGCTTCTGAACACTCTAGAGGCACTGACATTTGCAAAGGGAGGGAAAATAATCCGTTTTCTTAAAGATGGGTAAAAGTAGATCTTTTTTCCTTAGCAGAGATTTTTTCCCCCTTTAATCCTTTTCAAATTCAAAGGATCTTCAAAGGAGCAGGTGTCCCAGTCCTCCCGCTCCAGGAGCTAGGGTGGGTGGAGAAGGCAGAGCAGCCTGAGGCTTACAAAGGGCAGATCCTAATTCTGCAGTCACTTTCCTGCTGCAGGGCTCCCAAGAGAACAAGCAGCATTTTCCCTGTCTTCTGGGAACAAATTAGCATTTCTGATGAGTATTTTCTAACTCTAATATCTCTCTCTCTTCCCTTTGTTTATGAAAGAAATTCCTCTTATGGCAATAATCTTTCCAAGGGAAAACAAAAGGACCCTGGCTCCTACCTCTCATATCTGAGGAAGACATTGTTGAGGTCGTCGTTGACGTGCAGTAGCTCCTCCGTCACTTCCTCATTGGATACTCTGGAGATGAGCTCCACGATTCGCTGCTGCATGGCCCGGCAGGTCCTATTCAGCTCCTAGGGGACACATGTACCTCTGGCTAGCCTGCTGGCTATGCTTTTTTTTTTTTTTCATTCTATTTCCTTTGGGAAAACATGTACCAATTCTTAAAAGTGACAAAAGGAGTATGTGCTAGTCCATAAAGCCAGCCTGTGTGGGATGCAAAGTAGAAGGCCCTCCCTCACTGCCTCCTCCTACTCCAGAGGAAACCAGTTTTTTCAGTAGATAGACAGATGTCCATACCTATTTATATACTGTTGTGTGTACATAAGTACATGTTTGTACAAATTGTTTTTAATATATATATGATTCTTTGCAGCTTACACAGTATTCCAGACTCTCCCCATCACTTCTACAGGCTGACTCATGCCTTTGTATGTGTATTATAATGTATCACACCATTCTTCTATCGTTGGGCATTTAGGTTGTGGTCTCTCTTCTTTTGGCCAACCCAAATAATGCAGCACTGAACATTTGTATACATGTATGCTTATGCATTTGTGCCAGCACATCCATAGGACAAATTCCTAGCTGAAAGGGTACGGTCATTTAGAAAATTGATTGGTAATAGTAAAGACCCTTCAAAAAGATGAGATCAGTTTATTTATACTCCCAGCAACAGCATGAGTATATTTTATGATGGCATTACAGACATTTTGGTGGTATGTCTGTCATCTTGCTGAGGTCTCAGGAGTTCAGCAAACTCCTACATGGCTCCCAGCTAACCAGAAATGTCTCTCATGAACTCCTAGTCACCATCAGAACCTTCTCTACCCTCGGAAGCAATGTGCTGAAGACAGGTCCTTATCACTTTATGGTCTGGCTTCTGTAGGCCTCCCCTACTCTGACAACAGCCTGATTCATGCTCTCATTGAAACTTGCTGTGGAGCTCCCTCAAATACCTGCCAAGGCTCCTTGCTATCCTATAGGCCAGAATGAGGATCCCTACAGAGCTGAGAACTAACAGCCCTGCCAGGCTGGCCCCACAGCATCTCTGTCTACAGGAAGTCCCTGTGGACAAAGCTCCAACTCCTAATGGGCCATGTAGGGTAAAGCAGAGGCGAGATGCTGTCCCTACTTACCTGGACACTGGAGGCAGCTGATAACCCAGTGAGTGAAGGGGATCAAGGATGAAGCAAGAGTCTTTTCTTCTCACAGCTCAACCTCAAAACTACTTCCTTTTGAAAATATTTCTGGTGGAAGTAACCACTCTACTCACTGCAGACATACCGATCTCTATTGAGTTCTGCATCCTGTCTCATAATCTAACTAGCTTGACTAGAAGGTTTCCCCTACTAATAGATCATAAACTCCATGAGGTAGGTGCCATCATTTATCCCCTGGGGATGCCACACACAGAGAAAAGGCCCAGTAATCATCTGCTGAATCTGATTGCCAAACTGGTCAAATACAAAGTAGAAAATTGAGGGCCCCCATTCACCCCATCCCCAAATACCCCATGGTGCTCACCACACAAGGGCATTACAGTTGGGCTTATCTGCCTCACTCTCTAGACCAAAGCTTCTTGAGGGCAGAGATGGCATCTCTTGCCCCTGTTTTCCCAGTACCTGTGACTGACACATAGGAGCCAGTCCTTTAGTGCTTTTGAGAGAATTAACAAGGGCAAGTTGTGTTCCTTCTATCCACACTTAGTCCAAGGTATCCAAGAGTGTTCCTTATACATGCATATGCGCACATACCCCTCATTCACGACTGAAGGGCAGTGAATGAGTGCCCAGGCTTGATCCTGTAGGTAAGAACACGGTGGGGACCTTGACAGACCTGACTTGCCCATTACAGAGTAAGTAGATCATGGCCAGCCAGACACAGGCCTGGACACTGCTTCAGCTGCCACTCCTCCATGGCTGCTCAGCCTGTTCCCTGAGAGCAGAGGCAGCTGAGGAATGAAGCCTGGCCGATGTAGGTCACCTCAGAATGACTCCAGTACAGCTGTATTTTTCAATACGTAAGGTACTTAGATTTAGGCAGTTGGATACAAAAAGAGTCTGATGTTCAAAGGAAAAAAAGCTTCATTCAGAGATTCTCTGGCTTGCTGGGCCCTTTGAGTTGGTTATGGAAACACTGCCATTTGTTTTGGTTCTACCCTGTTGCTAGCCCTGTGCACAGCCAGAATGGTACTGTCTCTCTTGATCTACGGGGATAGCAAGCCCAGTGTCTGGACCTTCTGTTTTTTCCTATGAACATAGTCTCACTCTTGATTCTACCAAGACTGACATTCTAGGTTTTGGTGAAGGCAGGATCATTTCTGGAAAAATGGGGGCGGGGGGCCTTCTAGTGAATCACTAGATACTTATAATCCCTCTCTCCTTTCCCATACTCTCCTCGAGTTTCAGGTGCCAGCTGCATCCAGGCCAAACCAGCCCAGGCAGGTGGTAGCATTCTCATAAGCAGCAGAGAAACGGAGGAGGGGCAGGTCAGAACCAGGCTGGGGCTGGAGGGGAAGAAATGTGGACCTTGACTCTAAAGTGCTCTGAACCCTTGGTCCACTCAAACCACTAGCTCCCCCTCACTGTCTTCGCTCAGTTATCCATATCAGCTCAGCCTTCTTCCCAGCACCCTTCACTCAGAGAATAGAAAATTCTTGTTCATCTAGAATCCAATTTTCCCTCTCTACGACTCATCCCAGGCCCCAGTGACCCAGTAGTAAGAATTTATAAACACAAACACAAGTATTAGAATTAATAACAAGAGGTGAATATCAAAATTGAATTGCAGAGAATGCTAATGTCCAGTAAAGAATAGAATACCACAAAAATACCTGCTCTCTACCACTGTGAATGGCTCATGTCACCAGGCTAGCCAGAAGAGGGGCACTTGAGAACTGGCCTGGGCCTCAGAGCCTGGCCTGGTCTCAGTAATGGACTGCCACACAATAACTGCCATGGGTGCCAGTGGACTCTCACAGGTCAAATCCAGTCACTACAAGGAAAATCACAGCACACAAAAGAGCCAAAACCACAATGGAAACCCTAATTACAGAAATAAAGTATGCTCATGAATGATCCTAAAATGAAGTCAGACCTTTAACATTAAAACATATGTAAAAAATAAAAAATAAGAATGCCGGAACTTATGAAAGAAGCAATCATATTAGACTATGTGAAGGATTCTGAGAGCCAGGACTGAAGTGATAATGTAAATAATCAAAGTATTTACAATACATGGTTAGAGTGTAGGGAGCAGCTACTTAGCACTAACAAAGGAACATGAATCTAGGTTAACTTTAAAAGACCAATACTTGGGCAGCAGATCTTGCCCAGCGCTTTGGAAGAAATGCTGGAGACCTGGCCAAAGATCATGGATGGAAGACTGGGAAAGCTAGAACTGAGAGACAAAGGAGGCTAGGTGGCAGGACAGAGGAAAGAGATACAGTGCCTGCCTTTCTGCTGTCTGCCGCGAACCCACTGTGCATGTCACTCCCTCTCCCTGGATGTGCATGTGCCTGGTGCAAATGAGACCAGTACTTGAAGTGCCTATTAAAAAAAAAAAAAAAATCTCTGATGAACAAAAGGATCTTGTATGCTACGGGGCATACTCTCTCCAGCAAAGGCAGCCCCACCAGACAGTCCCAGGACATGGAAGTGTGGCAGTGTCTGGTGCTCGTGGCCAAGGAGCAAGCCCTGGATTCCTGGGTTGGGAAGGGAAAAGGGAAGAGGTCAGTCACTTCCCATCCACATTGTAGGCCAATTCTAAGATGTAGAACCTAGAAGCCAGGGTAATGCAGTAGTCATGGGAAACAGGTCCAAGGCCACTCTTGCAGAAGCTTGCAGCATCATCTCTCAGAGCCCATGGGTTTTCTCCAAACACACTTCAAATTTTTTAGAACAGCAGATAGCTTCAGGCACTGGCCAATATGGCTCAGGGGTCCCTGAGAAGTCAACCCTCTGTCTGCAATGTTCCTCTCCTCCTTTTCCATCAAACAAATTCCTACTCATCCTTTAAGGCCCTAAGATATTTCTTCACCCCAACATTTAATCATAAAATGTTTCAAACATAGATTCGCACTATGAGGAGGGAACCAAAATAGCATCGATGATAGAGGTTCTGTTCATCCCTCTGGCGACAAAATCAAAGTTATAAAGGAAACAAGGAGCAGCAGCAAGGAAAAAAGTCACCTGGGATCTTGACGAACAAGCCATACAACTAGGGAGAAGTCCAAGAAATCACCCTGCAACAACAGAAGGTAAGACGGGGCGAGGATGCAGGGCTGACTGGCCTCGAGTGGCTGAGTGAGATGGAGGCTGCGGCAGAGGCAGAAGCTTCTTATAGGGGCCACGTCCACTGACTGGCCTCGACGGTGATGGATCTGCTTGCTCTGAACACCAGTGCCGATTCAGCTGCATGCGGGGCACCAGGGACTTACAGGGAGACATTGTCAGAGTGAGGGCCAAGGCGAGACTCATTCTGTACTGAAGTGCCGGCCGTATCCACTGTTCCCTGTTGAGCCCTCCCCCTTGCCAGTGTACCGGACACTGCACCCCCATACCTGTGAGGTCATCAAACTGGATAACAGTGGTCGCTCTACCTAGAGGATTCCCTGAAACCCCACCTCCCCCAACTCATGGCCCCATCCAATCCACATCCAAATGTATCTTCAGTGAGTCAGGTGCTCCTTGCTGAGCAGCACCCGGACTCACACTGGGGGCAGCTGGCCTCCGTTTCTGGTGTGGCCTTTTGAGGCAACTATAAGCACAGCATCTGTGGATTGCTTGCTGAATCTTAACAGGTGGACCCAGAGGGGCAGAGGCTTGGGCTAAGTATGGCCTGCAGCTGAGCCTCTCTGAGGACCATACCACTGGACACCTACTTCACAAATTCACACTAATAAGACCAGGAGACTTAAGAGCTTTGCTTAGTAGATAGAAACAGACATGGAAAGGCAGCCAAATGGGAAGACAAGGAAGCAGAAACCATATGAGAGAACAGAACAGAGATCCAGATCTAATGGATTCAAGTAATCTAACACTGGTTATAAAGATGCTCTATGGACCTTTGG